CAGCCGCTGCGCCCCCGCACCCCCAACCCACATAATTCGTAACCCCACAACGAGACTTTCTTTGTAAGGACAGTTGATGTTCGCTTCGCTCACTCCGCTCCATCTCCTGTCCTCTTTACTGGTATATTTATGAGCCATACCTAACAATAATGAACTCCAAAACTTAGGGACTTGACATATGGTTTACCTAAAAAATTTATAAACATAAAACTCATCTTCTTCCTCCTTATTTTATACGCAGAACACCCCAAAACTTCCAACTATCCTATTTTCTGTTTTATTTATTCATCTATTTAACTTTTTTTTAAACAAATAAAAATAGAATATAAAGCTGAAAAAAAATAAAACCAAATGTATAAATAACCTTTGTAGAGCTTTTTATTTCCGACTTTCTTTGTGTATTTTGCTAGATTTCTCCTCTATTTCTCTTGATGTTTTTTCCCAGTGTAGTTTACATATTGTTATGGGGTTTTTATAGCCCCAGTTTACATGAAGAATCAAAGATGATTTTTCCTTTCTCCTTGCATGTGTGGTTGCTGTTGGTACATGTGGAGGGGCTGTTCTTACTTGCTAAAACGTGGAGGGGCTGCTGCAGTGGGTAGAAGATACTAGAATGTGAAGCTGGAATTTGCAATGTGGAGGGGCTGCTGCAGATGTTAATTGGAGCAGGGAACCAGCTAGATCAAGGTAAAAATGGTGATTACAATGAGTATTGATACAAGTGATTGGAATTCAGGAATTTGAACTTGTAAGATTAAGTTTGAATCCTACCATGGTCACTTTTTGTGAGCAATCTGTAAATCTCTATGTAAATCCCATTAGGTTTTAGGTATATCCAGACCCTGAACTGAATGAGTCATCGTTGACTTAAACTTTATTGTAAAAAAATCATTTATTCAAAAACTAATTTATCAATTTCACATAAAAGTCATTATTAATCTAACAATCCATGCCTTCTTATATTGTTTATAAACAATAGCATATTTGTCTACGCATTATTTATGATGTCATATTGTCAATGGTCGAATTTCCCTCAGTGATGTGGTTAGTTGCCTTTTATAATGATTTTTTATGTGAAATTAAGAATAGTTGATGTGCATTAAGGGGTAGATATTTGATAAAGTCAAATATATAAAAAAAGAATTGGCTAGGTTTGTAAATAGGATTTTATCATTTAAATTTTATTTAAAATATTTAACTATAGTTGAAGTTAAATTGAATATATTTTTCAAATTTATATTCGAACTTAAATATAATTATTTATAATATTATGTTACTGATTGATTTCAATTTAAATGACACTCTTTAATCATAAGTGGTATATATATATATATATATATTTATAATATGCGTAAGTAATACTTAAAATATTATTTAATAAAATCTAGAATTATATAATTTATACTATTTTTTAAGTAGGGATCAAGGATATAAGATGTTGAGTCATTTAAGTAATGTCAAACGTTGTAACAAAAAAAAATGTAAAATTTTAAATTTTAATATTGAGCGAAGAAAACTAAGTTTAAAGGATTGTTTCCATAATAGTCATATGTAGTATTTCATTCGAATTAATTTATCAATAAATATAGTAGTGTGACCAAAAGTTTTAACTAAAATAATGAGTAAATTATAATAATGATCATTGAACTTTAAGACTCTTTCACTTTGGAAAGGGGAATTGGAGTTTTTTTGATAAAGTTGTTGCCGTAAGAAATTTTTTTATCATTAAAGTCATTCAAAGACTAACAACTGTAACATTCTGATCTAGTTTGACCCGAAGATCACTGGATCCTAATGTCACACGAGATCACCGAAGTTGTTAACCCAAAAATTTCCTTTAAAACATTGTAATTCATTATATAAAACATCATCCATAGGAATATAATGAAAACATAATAAATTTGTTTAACAAGTACGGGGGAGCTCCCAAAATAATACACTGAGTTTAAAACAAAATATTGAATTTAATATATAGAGTTACGACTGAATAGTAATAGGGTCTACAATGGCACATGCTCTCTAATAACAATCAAGACATACTCTGAAATCTATACTAAGTTGGAACTGCTGGCGACGATAATGATCCTCAACTGATCATCTGAGAACCTGTGCACAAAAACACATTTCGAACGTTAAACTTACAACCTTAGTGCCTCACTAATAATTGTAATATACTACATGCATTCATTATATGTGCATGATAGAGGCATAGGTATGAAAACATGAATATATTGAACTATCATGCTGAGGTAGGCATCATGGAGCGGCTAAGGGTTATGCATCTCGGAGCTCACACACCCCTTTAGCCTTTCTAAAATACCCTATGGTATTTGGGTGAGATCTAGAGCTGCATCGAAAATGTACACCCGGTCAACTTACTCTGTCGAGTCTTGGGGCATCTGCGCCCAGCCGGCAACTGAAGTGCCTTGGCACTGATTAGATATCTGAACTGTATGATCATATCTACTAAAGTAACTCGGGTGTCCCGAGCGTCAAACAAGGCTAGTTTTATGTTGTCCTAGCTGTTCTCACTTGTAGTTTTATTTCATGGTATTACATTGTTATTGGGTCCCCCAATTATATCCCTTAAAAACCCTTGAATTTCTTACCCAAAATTGTTTGTGGGTATCGATACTAAGCTCCTCAATATCGATACTGGCCTCTAGGTATTGATATTAGTGACTTGTTAGGGGCTGATTAAAAGGGGTTGGTATTGATACTCGATCTGGAGTATTGATACTTCTGGTCTGTGGTATCGATACAGTCCTGAGTATCGATACCAAATTTTGGCTTCAATGCTTTGAAAAATACCTAAGTATCGATACCCTTATTGAGAGTATCGGTACTGGTATTGATACCCCATGAGTATTTATACTGGTATCGATACCCCTATGAGTATCGATACCAAAATTGTATACTGGAATCTGCTATGTGATCTCGGTATCGATACCACCATGTGAGTATCGATACCCATTGCATGTGTATCGATACTTCTAGCCCAAAATCCCTTTGTTTTTAACACCTGAAGAATAATATCAGTACTATTCTTCTAGTATCGATACTCGTGCCTAGAAATACTCTATTTTAGACACGAAAAATGCCTCCCAACATTCCCAAACATCCTATTGAGGTCCTCAATTGTTATTAAAACATTATGTCTGATAGTAGGGGTCATAAGAAGGCCACGACATGATTAAAAATACTCAAATGTTGAATCTACCATGAACATGCTTCAGAACTCATGCAACCTACCAAAACACATCTAATGACGTACATGTGGTAGAGTTGAGTTAGAAGAGAGTTATATTGAGTTTCTAAGCCGTTGGAAGCACCAAAGGTTCAATCAAGAGTGATTTTCTTCTTTCACCTAGCTTTGGAGCTTTCTCCAACTTCTCTCACTAGTCAAGAATCAAGCATAAGTGTTACTAGTTGGATTTAAAGGTTTAGAAGGGTTCAAGAACACTTCCTAAGGCTTAAACTTTTTGGAAATAAATTGAAACAATTAAGTTCCTTAAACCCCACAAGACCCACTTTTGGCTATCTTGAAGAAATGTAGAGATTAAGGGCTTGAGATGAGAGGATTATGATTTTTACCTTAAACTTTCTTTGCAATGCTTGGAAGTTTACAAAGTTTCAACCTTTCTGCTTTAGGCTTGAGGAAGACGATGAAGAGAAGAGCTTGAGTTTTGGGAGAAGGAAAATGAAAAAGAATGTGGGGGAAAAGAGACTAATGTGTGACATATGCACCATTAAAAGATTTCAACCTTTGCTTTTTTAAAATGGGTAAATCATTTCCTTGATCCTTCAAGTTTTGGTCAACTTTCAAAGATCTTCTTTTTAAACCATAATTGTGCTAACCCAGGCCCAATTCCACTCAACTTGGATCAAGGATTCCCTCAAGCTATTAAATTCATCTAAAGCTCTCTCGAGTTAGTCCGAAACTCTTAACCTGACATTCAGGGCTTTACAACAAGAATTGACGTGGCACGTCCACATGTTTTAACAAAATATTTTATTTAATTTATATTGTGACATAAAAATTTGCGTAATACTTCATTATGGATTGAAACCTATGACTTTAACTTAAGGGATGCATAAAGGCTAACCATTAATACTTTAAGTAAGAATCGAATCAAGTTAAATACTGATTTTCTTCTTAAAAGTTGAGTCAAATTTCAGGTTAGATTGAACTTTCTTAAATTTGAATAGACATGTAATATATAGGAGTGTTATACTTGGATTGAGTTCGAATAAACCATTCCTATATACACTCGCTAAAGTCCTAAAATTAATCCACAATAAAACCTTATATTAATTATTACTTATTAATTATCGCATTACAAGCTAAATATAATATTTTATCAAATATAATAAAATCTCTTGCTTAACCCAATGATTGTGCATTAGAATCATTTCTTAAAGGTTCTATGTAGTAATATTATTCTTTGACATATCCATGTGCTTGCATCCTCCCTCAATCTATATATACATGTTTGCTCATGCATTTATTTTCCTCTGCCGAAGGGAAAAGTGAAACCAAGCTCTCACCTGGTCTTCGGCAACCTCTTCGACCTCGGTGATAAACCCCATACGCCTTTGGCTAAGCTCGCTCAGGTTCACGGCCCCGTTATGAGTCTCCAACCGGGCAGCTTATTCACCATCATCGTTTCATCGGAGACAACCGCGAAAGAAGTCCTGAAAAAATAGGACCTCGTCTTCTATAACCGAACCATCATCAACACTGTCTGAGCCTGTCGGTTCAATGAATTCGTGCTTTCGCTTATGTCCGTTTCGCCATTTTGGAGAACTCTTCGCAAAGTCTGTGATATCCATCTTTTCTCTAGCCTGAAACTCGACGCCAATCGATACACGCATCGGGTGAAGATCGAAGAATTGATCGAAAATGTTTGCAAAAGTTGCGTTAAAGGCAACACCATTAACGTAGGCCAAGCTGCTTTTGATGCTACGATTATAATTTGCTGTCGACATTTTTTCGGTGGATGCGGTTTACCCGAATTAATCTCATGCTCGAGAATTCAGGAAAACAGTTTAAAATATCATGGAAGAGGTCGGGAAGCCTAACTAGGCTGATTATTTCCCTTTGCTTAGAAAGATCGACCCACAAGGTATACGACGCCAAGACGGTTCATTTTGGGAAGCTGCTTAATATTTTGTGTGAGAGAGAAGAAGAAGAAGAAGCTGTCACGTCAGAGAGTTAAAGGAGGTAATTATAACGTCAAATAAAACTAACGAGAGAAAATATCGGGACCTCGCTAAATAAGAACTAAAAATTTAATGATCGTATTACAAGTTTTAAAAGTTAGATGATCAAAATGTACGTATTCTAAATATTTAGAGACTATTTATATATTTTACCCCAAAAATAAAGATTTAAATATTTTCTCCATTATTGTTTGGCTATCTCTTGTTTTCTCCAGCACCGCCACCACAACTCATCGTTGGCGTCGTTTCAAGTACTGGGAAGGTAGCCTCCATTCACTCTCCGGTTCCATTCCTTGGTCCTCTTCTCCAAATCGGCTGCCGATTCCTCCTCTTCCTCATCGGGTTGAGTCGCCGCAAGCCTCTCCTCGTAACCGCAGCCTCTCGGAGCGTGGAAATCGAAAACGAGGGCTTTCGGTAAACGACATCGTTTTCGGTATAGCAGGATCCTCCCATCTATGGAAGCAACGGAAAGAGATAGTTCGGCTATGGTGGTGGCCTCTGGAAATGCGGGGTCACGTTTGGTTAGAAGAGCAGGTTCGTCCTGAAGAAACCGACGATTCGCTTCCACCGATCATGGTTTCCGAGGACATCTCAGGTTTCCGTTACACTAACCCAACGGGCCATCCCTCCGGACTCCGAATCTCCCGCATTTTAACGGAATCCTTCCGCCTCTGTGTGCCCGATATCCACTGGTTTGTTTTAGGAGATGATGACACCGTTTTTAATGTCGACAATCTGGTGGCGGTCTTGAACAAATACGATCATTCCGAGACGATGTACATCGGAACACCCTCAGAAAGTCACTCTGCCAATGCGTACTTCAGCCACTCAATGGCATTTGGTGGCGGCGGAATCGCCATCAGTTATCCTCTGGCGGAGGCTCTCTCTAATTTCCATGACGACTGCATTGAAAGGTACCCGAAGCTTTATGGAAGCGATGATCGTCTACACGCTTGCATAACTGAACTTGGTGTTCCTTTAACTAGAGAACATGGTTTTCACCAGGTAATCAGACAAAATATTGTTAGAAATTCAGCTAATTGATATAGTTAAACATGACAAACTAATTGAATATTTGTTTTGGTAGTGGGATATTAGAGGAAATGCGCATGGCCTTTTATCTTCTCGTCCAATTGCACCATTCGTTTCGATTCACCATGTTGAATATGTGGATCCATTTTATCCCGGATTGAGTAGGCTGGACAGTTTAAAACTTTTTACAAAACCTATGAAAATTGATCCCAGGAGCATTCTGCAACGATCAATCTGTTATGACCATGAACGACATCTCACCTTTTCAGTTTCACTTGGTTATGTTGTTCAAGTGTTCCCGAATATTGTGTTACCTTGTGAGCTAGAACGTTCAGGGCATACCTATGTTGCCTGGAATAAATTAGGGAATCCGCAAGAATTTGATCACGACACTAGGAAATCATACAAATCTGTTTGCAAAAAGCCTGTACTGTTTTTTCTCAAAGATGTAATGAAAGATGGCAATGCTACATTAGGTTCCTATGCCCGGGCCAAGGACAAAAATGATCTGAAGAGAAAGGTTTTCTGCTTTCCGCATTCCCCTCCGTTGCAATATGTTCAGAATATCCAGGTTGTTGGCAATCCTCTTGGAAAGAATTGGTATCTGGTGCGACATATTCTCCTATGTGTTTTCGTAAGTTATTCCCCTTATGTAGTTTAAGGTCTCTCTGGTCTCATGATGGTTTCTATGTACTCTGCCAGGTGCCGCGTCGGTTATGTTGCAAGGTAAACAATACTGGTGATGAAGTCCTTAGATTAAGAGTTGGCCAGTGCGAGAAGGGAACTCTCAGTTCATTTACTGATTCTCTTTGAACGATCGAGGGATGCTGTTGATTATGTATTCAGGCTCAAGATAGACCTCACGCTATTTTGTGCTTTATGCTCTTTTTGCTGCATGGAAGTTTTTGGGCTGTTCCTTGAGATTGACTGTGGGCACTGGTCTTATTTTTTTATTACTTCCCTTTATCAGCTCAGTCATTCAATTCTTGCCTTCATTTTTGTTCAGAAGGTAACTCATCATTTACTGATGGCTAACATTTGTGCTTGATGATGCAGTGAAACTGATCGTTATTTGTGGATATCAGAGATTAAACTAGTTAATTTTTTTTTCCGATTTGGCTCAAGATTCTCAGAGTTGTGTACTATTTTGGTATTTTTCATAGTTTTTGGTTGAGCTTGCAAGAGATGCTAGTCTGGAATACACCAACTCTCCAATCTAGGCGTTCATGTAAACAATTAATTGATTGCAGAATGACTAGTTCTGGAAAGGGCGGAATATGATGGTTTGTTAAAGAGGAACAACCTTATATTAATGTCGTCTATTTTTAATTGTACGCATATGAATCTTGAGACTCTGCAAAGAACATGATCTGTTTGTGGTTAGCTAGTAGCTACTCAGCATGGTTTTGTTAATCGTAACTAACTATTCAATGCAAGCCATATTGGCTTAATATTTAGGTATAACCTATGAAGTTTTATCCACTCCACTCCACCAGCTGAGCCCCATTTGTTCTCCATATTGACTGTTAGGGATGAAGTAATAGCTGTCTGATTTGCTTGTTTCTTGTTTCTTGTTTCTTCTGGAATGCTAGGGACATTTTTATTTTCATGATTAGTGATTGGTACTGATAGTTGAAATTAGGAAAACTGGGGTGTCTGTCTGTCTGTCACTAATGTTATGTTATGCCTTAGGTCATCAACGTTGAGTCAATGGCTGATACAGTCGTATCTTTCAGTGATGTGCGATGCGCATGATCTGGCATTCTGATGAAAGTAGTTTTGTGAAATTTGGGGCATTAGTCGGAATATTCCTCTTTTTCTTGTACCTTTTCTTCTTTTCTTCTGTACATCTGGTTGATGCTCTGTTTAGTCTATATATTCTACGTACAGGATTTTGTTTTGTTTTGGAGGAATGCAGATGTGGCCCCGTCTGAACTTAGCATTCAGTAAAATGAATTCTCTTGCAACATTTTGGGTCTCACCTGGGATCAGTACTCCATCTGCCAGCCTTGGACCTCTCTTACTGATTTTAGGTAAAAAGCTTTGCTGGCCAAAACCAAAATGGAATGGACTGTGATTAGGGATGGTCACCCGGTGGGGCAGGGTGGTTTTTCGGCTGTCCCGACCCAGACCCAAAAATTGAAGCTTTCCGCTCTACCTGACCCAGACCCAAAAATGATAACGATTTATCAGATCTGACAAGTAAAACATTGAATGCAAATATGCGATTGGTTGATTGTTTATTTAATTTATACTTTCTATCATTCAACTTTGACCATGTTTTATTTTGGTCATTAAACTTTAACAAAAATTATTTTAATTATTCAACTCTCGAATTGTTTCTTTTTAGTCATTCATATGTTAAATAAAAAATGATAATAGACTGAATTGGCCTATTATTTTTACTGAGGTTGTAGTCACCTCAATTTTCTAATTGTTTTATTTTTTTCTCTTTCATCATCTTCTCAAAAGCTTTAAAATTCTTCGAGTTTCATCTTCATCTCACATTGTCGTTAATATTGTCGCTCTTTGATATATTCTCCATTCATTTTTGACACTAATAAATTAGTTTCATCGTCCCTTATAACTGTATCATATTAGATTTTATCCGAATCTCATTAAAACTCTTGAAAACTCAACTTAATGTTGGAGGAAAATCACTCTAATCTACAATCTTCATTGTCTGATTAACGTATGATCATGAAATATTGTTTGTTTTCTCCTTCTGCACATCTCCACCATTGTGATTTGAAAGAAGATGCTCCAACATCAAAATCAAAAAAAATAAAGAGATTGAAAAAATTAGATTAAAAATGGGTAAACTATGTGAATAATCCCTTTTGTTTATGATATGTCCAACTTTGGTCACCAATTTAAAAATTAAAAGTGAATAGTCCCTAACATTATCGACCCGTCTGATTTAAGTCCTTCTGCTGTTAACCCTTAATGAATATGTGACATAGTTGACGGACTAAAATTGAATGAGAGTTAACAGCTGAAGGACTAAAATTGAACAGATCGATAACATTATGTACCCTTGATTTTTAAATTGATGAGCAAAGTAGGTCAGATCGAAAATAAAACGGACTATTCGCATAGTTTACCCATCAAAAAATTGAGAAGGAATATTTAAGGGGTATTTTCATAAATTTAAAAGAATGTTTTAGGTTCTTTTCATAATTATTAAAGAGAAAATAACCTCAGTGACCAAAAATGTCTTATAATATACGATTTTAACCAACTTTTTTTGGATTTGCCAAAATGATCAACTAAATCGCAATGCGATCGATAATTCGCAAAGCGATCTCCGGTATCGCAAATCAGTTTCTAGATTCGCAACGCGACCTTCGACTATCGCATTGCGATAGTCCAAGTTCGCGTTGCGATAGTCGAAGTTCGTGTTGCGATTTATTCCAAATTCGTTGCGATAGTCCAAAATCACAACGACTGGTGGTATTGCATTTGTTTCTTAAGAATTTTCTCTAAAAATATAGTACCACGACCACGAGACGAGACGAGACGGTGCGCGAGAGTCCCCCTTGTTCTCTATCACTCAACAAGGAAGTGGGAAAGCCAAGCCTTAAATACCATTCCAAATAGTATTTCCAATACTATGTGGGATTGAGCATTACCAACACTTGTTTCCAATACTATGTGATTATTCAGGAAACAATTAAAAATCATGCACCTTAAAACAACTAAATCAGCAACCAATTGCATTAGTATTATACGATTAAATATGTCATAATTAAAAGTCAATCTACAATCAATCGCGATTATTGCAATTTTAAGCAAAACATTCAAAAAAAATTACATCACTCGCGAGAATAAAAAAAAATTTATCGTGCAATTATAATCAATTGAAAATAAATTAGAATTGCATGAAAACTAAACGAACCACAAATACTAAAGTCATTAACTATAATTCACAAATAATATCACTATTTAAGGCTCAATCCTACATAGTATTGGGAACAAGTGTTGGTAATGCTCAATCCTACATAGTATTGGAAACACTATTGGGAATTATATTTAAGGCTTGGTTTTTCCACTTCTTTATTGAGTGATAGAGAACAAGGGGGACTCTCGCGCGCAGCCGCCGCCGCCGTCCGTCTCGTCTCGGGTCATGGTCGTGGTAATACGTGTCTTCGACACGTCCACGCGAATACTATCTTTTTAGAGAAATTTCTTAAGAAACAAATGCAATAAAACCAGTCGTTGCGATTTTGGACTATCGCAACGAATTTGGAATAAATCGTAACGCGAACTTCGACTATCGCAATGAACTTGGAATAAATCGCAACGCGAACTTCGACTATCGCAACGAATTTGGAATAAATCGCAACAAGAAATTCGACTATCGCAACGAATTTGGAATAAATCGCAACGCGAACTTCGACTATCGCAACGAACTTGGAATAAATCACAACAAACTTGGAATAAATCGCAACGCGAACTTGGAATAAATCGCAACGCGAACTTCGACTATCGCAACGAATTTGGAATAAATCGCAACGCGAACTTGGACTATCGCAACGAACTTGGACTATCGCAACGCGAACTTGGACTATCGCAACGCGAACTTGGACTATCGCAACGAACTTGGACTATCGCATTGCGAACTTGGACTATCGCAACGAACTTGGACTATCGCATTGCGAACTTGGACTATCGCAACGAATTTGGAATAAATCGCAACGCAAACTTCGACTATCGCAACGAACTTGGACTATCGCATTGCGATAGTCGAAGTTCGCGTTGCGAATCTGAAAATTGATTTGCGATACCGGAGATCGCGTTGTGAATTATCGATCGCATTGCGATTTAGTTGGTCATTTTGGCAAATCCAAAAAAAGTTGGTTAAAATCGTATATTATAAGGCATTTTTGGTCACTGAGGTTATTTTCTCATTATTAAAAGATAGATGACTTGTCATAACGCTGTAAAAAATAACTATAGTGTGACCAAAAACACAGTATTGTTAAAGTTAAATGACCAAACTAATTTTTTTTAAAGTTTAGTGACCAAAATGAAAACATGATCAAAGTCGAGCGGTGAAAATTTGTAGTTCACCCAATTTTGTTCATCGTGCCATTGTGTGGTTTAGAGACGTTGAAAGCACAGATTACATTACCTTTGGATTTACAACATATCGCACTTGACATACGCATGGTTTCTTCAAAATATATGAACCGTCGTTTTCGCAAAACCCTAATCCAATACCTTGCAATTTTAGAGGAATAATCCTTCTAAGTTACCCATACAATTTCAAACCCTAATTTCAATACCTTGCAAATTTAGAGGAATGATGATTCTAACGGCAGTTTGGTATAGCTTTTGAAAAGTATCGTAGAAATAAACTTTTAAAAGTTTCGTATAAAAGTATAGTTAAAATTTAATTATTTGAGATTACGATTAAAAAGTGAGTTTGAAAAGATAAAATGTGAATTATAAACATTGTGTTGTAAATTAAAAATATAACATTTAAATTATATTGAGCGGAGCTCATATATTAGTAAGGTTAAAATTATAACTTGCTTCCAAATATAAAGCTGAAAAATGAAAAAAAGCAAAACTAGAAATCCCAGTTCTGCCGTTGGTTTGAAAATTGGAATCATCGTTTCCTCCACAATTTTTTTAAATTTTTTATCCGTTTGACAATAATTTTGCAGTCATGTTTAACTAAGAGTCTGTTTGTTTGGGGGAAAACCAATTACGGAATTGGTTTTCCCCGAAATCCCGTATTTGTTTCAAGTAATTGGTTTTCCGGAAAATGCAATGTTTGGTTGGAGTAAAACTGGTTGGTCAACGTAAAACATTTTCCTGATCAACAGAATTTTCTTTGTGTTTTCTAGAAAATGACTTACGGTCTGATTTTCCATAAGTCATTTTTCGAACTTTTCACTTCAAATAATAAATACTCAAAATAATTTTATTTTATGAATTTAATATTAATAAAGTATTTTAATATCATTTTAATCAAAATATTAATTATTAAAATATTTAAACTATATTTATTAATATTTCTAATAATATAATATTATATTTTTAATATTATAATAAAATAATCAATTACATTATAATAATAAAAGATATTATTTTAATATTTTAAAAATAATAATATTAAGTTTTATGATAAATAATATTATTTATTGTATTTAATATTTGTAATAAATAATTTTTAAAAAGCTCGTCAACTAGTGGAAAAAAATTTAAACATCTTCCAAACATCGTAAAACGTTTTCCATAAAATGTTTTTTCAGAAAAATATAATTCATTTTACGAAAAATATTTTTCCGAAAAACGTTTTCAAGAAAATATAATTCATTTTCCATAATTCAATTTTCAAAAAACCAATACCCTAAATATGTTTTTGGAAACCACTGTCAAACCTTAATTTCAATCGGACAACCTAACATGACCGGGGAAGACCTGCTTTTTCCGTTTGTTTCTTGAGCCGCCGGCGAGAACCTACCAGAAGAAACCTACAGCCTCACCTTTCCAATTCATCTGATTGGCTTCGGCCTATCCCTAATTAAAAAATTCGGAGGCTAATAACAATAATAAATTTAAAGAAGGGGACACCTCTGGTTCAGATGTACTGGCAATGGCATCAAATAAAAAGTAAAAACTCACCGCTTCCCACACCGGGAATCTATCATGTAATAAAAACCCTTAAATAATCACTTCTTATAATATTAAAATAAACAAAATAGAAAGCATGAATTGTGGAGGAGAGATACCATTTCCGAAAAGCAAAGAATAATCAGTTAAAATTTATATTTTTTATTTAAATTTATATTTTTTTATATTTTTAATAATAATATAGATTCAACTTCTTGTCTTATTAAATTAGTTTTGTTTTATTAAATCATGAATTTCATATAAAATGTTTAATGTTTTATCCTATTATATCAACTTATTCCATTCATAATAATGTAATTGAATCCATTAATCTTCAGTAAGAGGCTCTACATCTTATCTTATTAAACTAATTAATAGATACACACTTAAATGTCGGATTGAGTGTTCGATCGAATCAAGTAGAAAAACTTTGAGTTATTTAAGTCGACGAGTCTTATTTTGTTACTTGAAGTTGACTTCGAATTTTTTCGAGTCGAGTCAAAATTTTGAGTTTCTATTTAGATTTAATTATAAATATTTACAATATTATGGCATTATTTGATTATAATTTAAATGATATTTCATAATCATATGCAATATATATGTATATTTTTATATGTGATTTACATATACCATACAAAATTAAGAAACTCGACTCAAACTTGAAAAATCAATCTACTAATTACTAAAGGTTTCAAGTTATTCGGGTTGTATTTTACAACTCGATTACTCGATCTGGACTTGAAATTTTTCAGAGTATAGTTTATGAAATTATAACTCGAAATCAATTCGAGTCGAGTCGAAAAAATCGATTTTTTTTCCGAATTGAGTCGAGTTTTGTTTATCCCCACCGAAAAGTACTTGTTAAACAATTCAAGTATTCAGGTCCAAATAGAAATAAAAATAAACAAATAGACATGAACTCATCGAATGATTTCAGTAATAGACGAGAGTTTTGTTCTCCTCGAAGTGACTATAAGGTTTGGTTGCGTTGTCAATAACTAAGAAATATTCGGGAATTAAAATAAAGATTATAATTTAACAATATATAATATAATTAAGTCAAATAAATAGATAAGTTTATGTTCAAATTTCATATAGATAAAAAAGAATACGTGTAATATGGGGTGATCTGTAATAAGGGAAGGAGTGATGGGGGGTAAAGGCAAATGGGGGAGAAACGCATCGCACGTTCTTACCTTAGCGCCTTATAAAATGCGGGGCCCTCTGACAGCTGTTCCAATGTGGTGCTGTCCTGTCCTCCCTCCCATATTTGCCCCCCAAATTATTACATTATTTATAATAATAATATTAATGTAATTAATTATTCCTCCAAATAAATAAACATAAAGGTAGCTTATGGAGGGAGATTAGTATCTAACCAGCAAATAATTAAGCAGATATTTGGGGTTCACGTACTTAAATGGGAACAGGGGATTCTTAATTTTGTTACTAATTATTTATTTATTTGTTAATTATATAAAAGCAATGGCCCCCATCACATGCAACTTAGTATGACGGGACCCACAAGTTTTGTTTAACTAATGTAAGATAAATATAAACAAAATACATCCCTCGGTAGATCTATTTCCTTGTTTTAAAATGGATAAGTTCTAAATTTCATCACTATATTATTTCTCACTTTTATTGTAGTTACCAAAGTTTATTACTTTTCAATTTACTCATATTTTAGTCACCTTACCTTTAAATATTCAATGACATTATGACCATATGTTTTTCAAATTATGAAATTATCCTAAAACGTTCCTCGTTTTTTTGTGTGAAAAAATATCGGGTTTCTAATACCCTTTAATTTCTTGATGATGAAGTATATTTTTCTAAATCATGTATATCTTGATTACACATTGGTAGATAAATATTATAGACGATAATTATTTCTAGTTTTATGACTTTTGGGATTGAAGTTTAATTTTGTGAGTTTTAAAGTGGTTTAGGTAAAACCTAAATAGATTAATAAGAGACGATGAGGCGAGTTCATCGATATCTTCAGTCATCGTAGAAGATCCCAAAGAATGATAATTGTAGCTCTATCGTAAGACAAATAAAATTATAAAACTTTCATCTTTAGGGAAAGAAGATAAAAATAGAAAGAAACGAAACTAATATGGATGACATGTGGATGTCATGTCAACAAAAATCAGTCAACATTGCTACCATATCAATATTTCATTTCTGATTTAACGTCCGAGTGATCAAACTAGGAGCACTAAAGATCAATGAGTAAATTAAAAATTTTAAAATTTAGTAACTAAAATAGGAGTAAAAAGAAAATTAAGTGATGAAATTTATCATTTATCATTTTTAAAAATACAACAATAAATAAAAAATAAAATATTTTTTATTAATTTCTGATTCTAATATTCGTAACAATATTATATTAAGACTAATAAATAAAATTTAATTCATATGGATTAATGCATAAGAAGCATTGAGTAATAAAAGTTTAAATTAAAAGTAGAAGAAATAATGGGAGGGAGGGGGGCAAAAAGTGATTTTTAACAATTATTAGGTGCAAAGTGAAAGCGGCTGACAACAAAGCGCTCTCCTTTCTTTCGAGCGTCTGTTTTATCATTTCACCGTCTTCTTTCTTCATCATCTTGTTCTATCTCAACCTCTCTCTTAATCATCCTCATAATCCTCAATCTCCTTCCATTTTTTATCTTAAAATTTCTCTATCTCTTTGCTTTTTTATTCTGCGTAAAAGTTGCAGAGTGCAGCTGTTGCTGTTAATGATTATGCCCTTCTGTTATTTCCTTGTTTCTTCAATTTTCCCGGAGACAAAAGCTTTTACTTTATAAGGGATGCACTAACTCGTAGGAATACTCTTCCTGCCTTTCAATCTTTCCAGTTGTCTTCTCTTTCTCCTTTTTTTTCTTTTAGATATAAAAATGAAATCTTGAATCGTAGTTAACATCACCCCATACTGTTTTGTTTAATTTCTCTTTATCGTTTCAATTATTAGTCCCCCTCCCATTTTCTCTTTGTTTTTTTTTTCAATATACCCAGAGAGCATCGCAGCTGCGTGGAGGAGGAGGGAGGAGATTGGGTTTGGGCTATCCAAGTCAACTGAATTCTGTATACTGCCATTGATGAGGAGGAGGAGGAGGAGATCTTGATGCACCATTGATAACAGCCAAAGAAGAAGAAGAAGGTTATTGTTTCTGATACGGGGAGATGCAGCAAGAAGGCGGTGGTGGAGGAGGAAGGCAGCAAGCTCAATATGGGGAGATGAGTGGTGCTCCGACGACTGGTGGTGCAGTAAGCGACGCGTCGGAGCTGTTAGTGGAAGCGGCATCACCTATAAGTAGTAGACCGCCAGCTGCTGGTGGGAATTTAGATGAGTTGGGACTAGGCGATCGTGGAGGAGGAGGTGGCGGTGGTGCCGCAAGCGGAAACCGGTGGCCACGTCAAGAGACTCTAGCTCTTCTAAAGATTAGATCCGATATGGATGCTACTTTCCGTGATGCCTCCGTCAAGGGCCCCCTTTGGGAAGATGTTTCCAGGTAAAGTGAAAAACCAATCACATAGTCATCGTTTCCCCTTTTCTTTTAAACACAAGTAAATTCAACAGCCCGTAAAAAAATTATAATCATCGTCATCAGCAAGCATGAATTCATAACAAGCATGCTGCTGAAATACTCGTGGGAATGGAGTTTTTGTTGTTGTTGTTCTTTTCTCTCTCTCTCTCTCTCTCTCTCTCTCTCTCTCAATCTGAAAGCACGCACGCACATGGCTTCTATCTGTTTCCATCACGACTCTCGAGCTGGTGGCATCTTCTTTCTTACAATTAAGAAATGGACCAGATCCACTGCAACTACTCTAACCCAATCCCGAGAGGAATTCTTTTTTTATTTACAAAAACAAATTCTTAATTAAACGCCATGAAAGGGAGAGCATGCTTCATCAGTCAGCTCTTTTTATTCCTTCTTTTGCTATGGGTTTTCTCTCCTTTTTCACATCAATAATAAAAGGTTTTCATTGCTTATGACTGTGGACAGTATAGATGCATATATATATATATATATATATATATAATTTCTTGTTCAATGTTGATTCAAGTATAAATGATTATGTGAGATTATAATAACGAGAGGTATGATTTGCAGGAAGCTGGCGGAGCTGGGTTATAAAAGGAGTGCCAAAAAGTGTAGGGAAAAGTTCGAGAACGTCCACAAGTACTACAAGCGAACAAAAGAAGCTCGAGCTGGACGTCAAGATGGTAAGAGTTACAAGTTCTTCAGCCAGTTAGAGGCTCTTCATACAACTTCCGCCACCGCTCCTCCCAACGTTACACCTGCCATTGTCGCTACAGCCGCAAGCTTGGACGTGGCTCCCGTTTCAGTTGGGATCCCCATGCCCGTTTCTTCCGCCAGAATTCCACCTACAACGGCTACAATGTCTTCTTCTTTTCTAGTCCTTCCTGGATCCGCTCCTGCGCCAGTTCCGATGCAAGCGTCAGCTCCAGTCACGGCGTCCGTACCTCCTATTGTCACCACCACCACAGCCGTTCCATTTGGTATTAGTTTCTCTTCTAACAGCTCTACCTTTTCTCAAGGCTTTGACGATGATGACGACGAAGAAGATGACGTTGGAGTTGGAGGAGAACCGTCGAGCATGGCTGGCACTAGCCGTAAACGCAAAAGATCGTCTTCAACGAGGAGGAAGATGGAATTCTTCGAGGATCTGATGAAACAAGTCATGCAGAAACAAGAAGCCATGCAGCGAAGGTTTCTGGAAGTCATAGAGAAGAGAGAGCAAGATAGGACGGTGAGAGAAGAAGCTTGGAAAAGACAAGAGATGGCAAGGTTAGCTGGAGAACATGAACTCTTGGCTCAAGAACGTGCCATGGCCTCTTCAAGGGATGCTGCCATAATTTCCTTTCTTCAGAAGAGTACTAATCATACCATACAGTTACCAGCAACAACTGTTACTATCCCCGCTGCTCCACCACCGCCACCATCGCCTCCACCAACACAGCCAGATGCCCCTATTCCTACAGTAGCTCCACCGTCGCATCAGCCACTGTCATTACCGCAGCAGCAGCCAGAACAACTGCAGCAAATGTCACATGCATTACACATCCAACACCAGCAGCAGCAACAACAACAACCACCACCGTCACATGCATTGCACATTCAATACCAGCAACATCAACTTCAGGCGATTTCTTCTGAGGTAGTAATGGCTATCCCGGAGCAGCAGGTGCCACCCCAGGAGATTGGTGGGATCGGGAGCATGGAGCCTGCATCGTCAAGATGGCCTAAAGCTGAAGTTCTTGTACTTATAAACCTTAGGAGCGGGCTTGAAGCCAGGTACCAGGAGGCTGTGCCTAAAGGACCCCTTTGGGAAGAAATCTCCGCTGGTATGTCCAGGATGGGGTACAAGAGAAGCGCCAAACGATGCAAGGAAAAATGGGAGAACATCAACAAGTACTTCAAAAAGGTCAAAGAAAGTAACAAAAAACGTCCCGAGGATGCCAAAACATGTCCCTATTTTCACCAGCTCGATGCCCTTTACCGTAAGAAAATACTTGGAGGTGGGACTAGCAGTGGCAGCTTTAGTGACCACAATAGAACCGAAGAAGAATCGTCGCGGCAGCATCAAGACACTAAGGACCCCCCACAGAGCACGGCAGCCCCGACACAATTCGATAACGAAACGGAACCTAATGCTGATGGAGTTTCAAAGAAGGTAAATTTATTTGTTTATATTAATGAGTAATTCCCATTGGATTTTGATGAAAGCATTTTCATTTGATGGTATTGATGAATTGTTGGGCTGGCATTGAAGCCAGTAGACACTGTGAGGGAGCTGATGGGGGAGCAAGGGGAAGGTTTGCAGTTGCATCAACAACACCATCAAGTACAATCCTTTTTGGTGGATGGATATGACAAGATTCATGAAGCTGATAGCGATAACATGGATGACGAGGTAGATGAAGACGACGGCGAAGAATCGGAAGAAGAGTCAAAGATGGACTATAAGATAGAATTTCAGAAACAGAATTCAAGTACTCCTAATGGAGGAGGGAATGGGGCAGGCGCACCCTCCTTTTTCACCATGGTCCAATAACAATTGCAGCTCCCTACACCATTCATTACAAGAGTAAAATGTACCATATGTACCCATGTGTGTTAACAGTTATTTCATTCTCCCACTTACCCTTCCTTTCAAATTCAAATTACCTTCAATAAATCGCCTTCTTCATTGTTTTCTTCAAAGTAGCTGACATCGGCAGGCGAGTTGCAGTTGCATTTCATGCTCCAATTTATTGATTTGTTGGTGAATAAGAACTCCCGTTTCGAAGGATCCGGGATGAAAGATCGTATCGAGGGATTCAAGAAAGAAGAAATAAGCTTTGGGTAAATTACCAGCAGCAGCAGCAGCATCAGCATCAACACCACCCAAACAAAGCATAGAGAGATTACAGAAGCATGCATGCATGCATGCATGGATGCGTTGTGCAGACAGATCTCTCCTACTTTGTCTGGTTTAGGTTAAGAAATTCATGTAAGAATCATATTTATTCCATGGTTAGAAAAATTCTTTCTTTTCATTGTCATCAGTTTTCTTTTGTCATCAAGTTCTTCATCTGTATCCAGATTTTAAGTTTTTAACAAAGGGTATTGTCGTTTTCATCCATCGTCATCACCTACAAACAAAGGAAACAGTTCCTTCAACTTCAACTTCAACTTCAAGGTCCTTACCCTAAAAATATTAAAAATAATCAGAAAAAAATATTGAAATGTTCATAAGGAGACAATCTTAACGAACTGAAAGCAACATTAATAACCCAACTACTGCTATCCATTTGAAATATCAACTTAGTGATGTCGGTCATAAAAAGAATATTTTTCTATTTAAAAGATTATCTTATATATGATTATCTAAGATTATATGATATATATTTATAAAGGGAATGTCGAGACGACCATACCACTAAAAAACGACTATGCAAAGGTTGAATTTGAGATTGATTCGAATCAGAGTCGAGAAGAAAAAGAAAAGAAGATAGAAATATTTGATGATGATTGAAGGTGAAGATAGATATGCCCCAACCATGTGCATGTAATTTTACTGCCACCACAGACTTCCCCTACTTGTTCTCCCCCATTTGCCTTTTTCCATTCTCCATCCATCTTTGTCGACTTACTGCATGTGCCACTGTTCTTATAAAAGCAATGATTGTACATTATAATATTTAGGTATATCAATACGTATAGTATTAATGACGTTACCTGGCCCTGCACTGCTAAATGGGGGTGATCCATAACAGTACATATCATGAATTAATAATGACATTTGTATATTGATAAAACAGAAAAAAAAAACTACTGTAAGCTGTAGTTCCACATCAGCACATGTGGTGTGGGTGGCAAAATATAGGTGGCTTCGGTTGGTGGCTACATTTAAAGATTAAATATACTGCTCTTCAATAAAAATTAGCTGACCCTATTCCCCTATATAATGGGTAAGGGAAGATATGATAGTAGGCTGCCCCCAACACCAGGTTAAGAGCAGCTTCCGTGAGAGACCTCTGGCAGTCAGAATTATGAATTGCCCACAATAAGACTCGATCCCACGACCACAATGTTAAGAGCCTTGCGCTTTACCAACTGAGCTGGACAAACAATTTAAAGATTAAATATACGGATTTAAGATCGTTGAATGTATATAAATAAAAGTTATAACTAATAATATATAAAAAATGAGAAGATATTTATAGAAAAAGAGTTAATATTATCCTTCTATTTTCATTTGTCAAATTGTCCTAAATCTATATAAATTTAAAAAATTTGTACATTCTTACCATATATGTTTATAGGTAAATCAAATTCAAGGACAAATTGAATATACGACGACCTCCTGATAGATATAAACGAGTGATTTTTTTTTGAATTATTCAAGTTGATGAGTATAGTTTATTTATTTAAATAGATTCTTTATGAAATTAAAATTGTTTCGAATCGAATATATTTATTTTAATTTTATTCAAAATTAATTATAATTATTTATAATAGTACGAAAGAGTTTGGTTCAATTTAAACAATTCCATATAACTATATACCTACATATACATGGCTAGGATTTGCTTACATTGCGTAGAACTTTTTCTATTTTACACCTTTTATGATAGTTAGATGGGAGAAAATTAAATACTGAGATTAACATTAGGAAATGAGAATATAATCACTGGAAAAAACGAGTAAATCTCAACATTTGATTTTCTCTCGTCCAACGATCCTAAAAGAGTTTTTATAGTTCTTTATATTCTTTTCCACATGTATAAGTAAGATTTGTAAAGTTATTTAATAAATTAAATATCATCTAAATCACATACTTATAGTGTTATCTTATAGAGAAATGGTTTTGAGGATAAAATATTGACGAGAATATAAAAAACTATAAAACACAAAATGAATAATTTAAGTCGGAGGAGCAAACTGAATATAATATAAAGTTAAGTGATTAATTTAAAAAAATAAAATTTGTTGTCAAAAAAGAATAATTAAAGTTACATGTGTATTCTATAGTGAAGGAGAAAGATATAACATAAATTTGATTAAAATAAACTTAAAACACAAAACGAACCGAAGAAACAAAAAGATCAGATCACAAAACATCGAATTCAAAATTTTCAATTATTCAAAATTTTAAAATTCCATTAATTCGAGAGAGATAGAAAGGAAGGAGACATACATTGATGCAACCATCAAATCTCCCACCAAGCGATCATCCATTTCCGTTTAACATTGCTCTGGGGAATCAAGAGGAAAAGATTAGGGGTAAGCACATGGAAACGGGGACAAGTGAACATGAACCATGCGCATGCTCTACTAACATCTGTCCCCCTCTTCCCACTAATACATTGTTAGGCTCTCTCTCTCTCTCTCTCTGTCTTTTATTTAGAATAACAAATATTTCATTTGATGAAAATTTTAGATTTTTGATGCGAAATCTCTCTAATTAAGCTCACAATCATCTACTAATCATTAGGTAAATGAATACAGCTCTCCATCATGGCCGAATGGACCGAGAGGTGAATGGGACAATCGTTCCCTTAAAAATTTATAATTATTATATATTTTAAATTCATCCTAATCCGTAAGATTAATAACTCTAATTAACTTTTAACATTAATATTTTTTTATCAATTTCACCCTTATCAATAAGATTAATAACTCTAATCTAGTACTTAGTAACATATTCTTTAATTTTATCAAATATCAACCAATAAAATACTATCTCAATACATCTAGATATTTTATTTTATAAATACGAGATGAATACACTATAATATTTATTCAATGACTCTTAATCATTTTACGATAAACACTCGTATTTATGTCTCTAAACTATTTCTCTCATTTCAAATTATATTATGTTGGGCTTTTTAGAAGCTCAAATTGACAACAGGAACAGTTTGCAAAGAGAGATCGGAACGGTTTTGTTTTAGGGAGCAAGGAGATTGAAAGATAGAGAATTGCACAACGATTTATAGTGGTTCGACTTTCTCAACCAAAGTCTACGTCCACTACCTTAGCTCCTCACCAAGGATTTTCCAACAAATTCACTAATTTGTTCTTTCTTTTGAGGATAAAGAGTAACCTTACAAACTTCCTAGTTTTTCCTGGCTAAACTAGAACATTTCCCTTTACAAAAGGATAAGAAATGTAAACAATAACACCTCTCTAAGGTAGGTGTTTACAAGAATTAAGCTCACAAGAACAAAAATATTTACAAGAGAAAGATGAAATAAGAATAAAAAACTCTTCTCTTGTGTTTGATTGCTTGGATAGTTGTTCTCTTTCTTCTTCAAGTGTCCTTAGCTCGTATTTATAGCTTTGAATGTGTTTGAAGTCGTATATAATCGTTGGTGATGTTTTGGAGTCGTTTGGGGATGAGAAACAATTAATAAAACAGCTTGGTGCGTGGGGGGAATCGGTACCCCCTCATGGGGAATCGGTTCCCTAAGTGTAAAATTCAAATATTTCGACCGTTAAACAGGGGGAATCGGTACCCCCTAGGGGGAATCGATTCCCTCCGAGCATACTGGAATTTTTCGGAGCCAAACCATTCAGGGGGAAATCGGTACCCCCTTGGGGGGGAATCGGTTTCCTCTGAGCAATCTGTAATTTTTGGCTTTGAGATGGTTCGAAATATTTTGTAAAATCGTTTTGAAATTATTTTAAGATTAAAACTTAATTTTACACTTGAGTAAGGATTAAAAATGACATTTGAAAGATTTGGAGTATTATTTTGATATTCGAATAATTATATCGAATATACTTAGAAAATCTTTTTGGAAAATCTTAAAACTCATTTAACTTATTTTGTTATATCAAAATATCAAAATGTTTTCAACATATTATCATTATAAATTAATTCATAAACTTTCAAATATTTTAATTTCATCATCAAACTATGATTCTTATTCTAAATTGATCCTCAATTTTTTTAATATTTTAAGTTTATCCCTAAATTTATCCAAATATGTAATTAGTTTCAACCATGGGTTTAACATATATATTTTTTTCAAACATATAATGATATAGTTTAGCCTAACAATTCTATTAACATGAGATGTGACCGGTACAGACCTATAGTTTGTGATGAAGTTGAAATGTTCAACAATTTGAGGATCGATTTAAAAGGAGACTCATAATTTTTTGATGCTAAAAAATGTTCAAAAGTGTAAGGACATGTGACATAATTAACTCTGTTAAATATCATTTATTACCTCATCTCTTACTATAATAAAAGAAAATGCAACCTAAATGCAGCCAATTATGTATAATGGAAAATACATCTGTCAACCCGAAACTTCTATGGACCAAAAATACATACCCAGCAGATAAGTAGTGGCAAAATGAAAAATATAGAAGACAACTCAAAAGATTTGATTAAGCTGCCCCACCCCTATGTGCTTGTGTGTATTAATTAATTAAGGGTAAATTACACATTTAGTACATAAATTATTATTTTTTATCCGTTTTAGTACTCGAATTTTTAATTTTTTTAATATCATACCTAACGTTTGATTTTCATTTTATTTTAGTGTCCGCCGTTAAAACTTAATGCTTTTAGTACCTAAACTTTTAAAAAAATTAAAACTTAATGTTAAATTTTAAACGGGTATATTAAAATGAAACAAAATCTAAAGTTTTTAAAGGCGATATACTAAAATAAAACAAAAACTGAACTTTTATGTATGATTTTGAGGAAAAAAAATTAAGTATTAAAACGACCAGAATTGATAGTTTATATATTAAACCCTTTTACCTATTAATTAATCATTTAATGTACTTTTACGTATAACGTACATTATACAATATTCCATCTCAATATGATGAGTAATGGAACAGTGATGTGACATGTGAATTAATGATTAACACGACCTTTCTCAAGTCATTGCCATTTGTACAAGATTTCATCGCCAATATAACCATAATATTAACCATCGACCGGGTCGATAGGTAATATTAGGGGTGTTCATTCGGTTAAATCAATAGTTGATCGAACCGAATTATCATTAATCGAATTAATCAACTTAAAGGGAGGGAATGGCGTCATCGGTGGGGGTCTGTTGGTATTGTGAAGGAGGTGGGTTCGAATGTTCAACGCTTCAAGGTCGGCGATCCGGTTGAAGTGGGAACTTATATCAACTCATGCAGGGATTGTGAGTATTGCAATGATGCCTGGGAAATTCATTGTGATAAAGGGACTCTTTTCACGTTTAATGCTGTTGATGCGGATGGAACTGTCACAAAAGGCGGATATTCTAGCTCTATTGTTGTCCATGAAAGGTAAGCATTTCATGCTATTATATGTCTGTAATTCTTGCTTTGCAGGTTATTAGAGATTCACCAATAAATGAGTTTTCATTGCATGAAGCTGAATCGTTAGCTTTGTTGTTGAATCACACAGGTACTGCTTCAAAATACCAAGCGACTATCCTCTGGCTTCAGCAGCACCTCTGCTTTGTGCTGGGGTCACTGTTTATACACCAATGATCCTCCATAACATGAACCAACCCCGAAAATCTTTAGGAGTGATCAGGCTCGGCGGTCTCGATCACATGGCGGTGAAGTTGCAAGGCTTTTGGGTTGAATGTAACGGTTCTTAGCACAAGCATATCTAAGAAAGAAGAGGCCCTGAGCCTGCTTGGTGCAGACAAATTTGTCGTCTCTTCTGATCAAAGGCAGATAAGGGTAAAAGATTTAAGAATTGACAACATCTTAGAAGTTAATATTTATAATGAATTCACAACCATTGACCTTAATGGAGTTTATGGTTTTTGTGTGCAAAGCCTGTCAAGATCATTGGACTTTATAATTGACACTGCATCTGGCAATCATCCATTTGATCCTTACATGTCACTTCTGAGGCCTGCAGGTGTTTATGCCCTTTCTGGGTTCCCAAGTGAAGTCAGATTCAGCCCTGGAACCCTTAATCTGCGTACAGACCACTACTTGATATTCTGTGTTGATTTCCTTGTTCTTAGGGATGGCTATTTTATCTGAATCCAATGGATTTCAGCCCGATCCAATCAGATTGATGTTTTATCAGATCAGAGTTTGATCAAGTTTGGATTTAGGATAAAAAAAATCTGACCTGACATAATTATAAAAATGAATATATATGTATCAGGTCAAGTCGGATACGAGTTTTGACCTAAAAATCAGATTAAGTTTTGAGTTGGATAGAACCTTCGAACCCAACTAATGACTATAGCTACTTGTTCTCACTTGATCAATTGCAAAACTAAGTTGCTTGAATTGACCATTTGGCTGGCAGGTATGAGAACTTCCACAGGAAGCGTGACAGGGGGAACAAATATAACTCAAGAGATGATAGTCTTTTGTGCTGCTAAAAAAATTTACCCACAGATGGAGGTAATACCAATCCAGTATGCAACTGAAGCTCTTGAAAGGCTGATAAAGAGGGATGTTAAGTACCGCTTTGTCATCGACATCGAGAACTCCCTGTAATACACTGAACGTACCATGACCTGCGTTGATCTTGCATGGCGGGCTTCCACTTCAAATATTTGCTGAATAAATGGCACATCGATATTGTCACTGAAGATAAACTGTGTTAATTGTTATGTAGTCTTGAGTTTGATCGAGATAGTTACTGTTGAATTCTAATAGACCTTTTCGGGTTAATTTTGTGGTAAAAGCTGATTTACTTTGCTCAACGTATCTTCATCCATTTCATTTAGTAACAAAGACAGCAGAAAATAAAAATTTTCCAAATTGATAAAGACAACATCCTTTTACTCGGCATCTGTAATCCAGGGAAATAAGGTAAAACAACGAAAACTAAGGTACCAAGATACTACTAAGGCATTGAAATAAAGCAGTACCCCAAAAATTCTACTGGAGATAATAATCATAATCATTCCTAACATAGATACCATCAAGGAACTTCCTAATATCCTTGTTCTTCACATGGCATTTCTGTTCAAAATGAAGGTTTTTACAGTCCGGTTATGGAACATGGTGCAAGAGTGGTTAAACATCTTAAACAAGAGAGTACCTGATTTATCAAAGCCGCTGATCGTGACACAAGTTCGATATCATTACCATCCAAAACGATCTCATCCTTAACCTTCTTGGATCGAATAATGGAAACCCCTTCCAACATATCCACCTTACGCAACTAATGTTCGCCAACAGAAGAACAAAGTCATATAAATAATAATGTCAAAGAAAAACCAGAAACATCTTGAACACCTAAATCAATATTGGATAACACCTAAAACTGATGGTTGCCCGTTTCTATACATCAGTAAACAAAGTCGATAAGAATTTCAATTTTCAATCAACAGTGTTGACATTAAGCACGAGAATCACACATGAATCGGTTCTATAATAAAATTAAAGCAAGCGAAAACGACAAAGATGGTAAATTTCATTAAGTTAGCAGGTATCCAAAATGACAAGCTTCTAGGATAGCTGATGGGAATATGCCATTTCAAAAAGCTGTAATAGAAAGCCATACATAAACTTAAGAAACATTAAACCCTAAAATTGAAGTCAATAAATAGAGATTGGCTATTCAAAAATGAATCTACAGCAATAATCAGTGTTGGATTCATAATAAAGGAAGGAATGTGAGAGAGAATGGTGACCTTCTTCTCGCCGAGGAAGATACGGATCTCGATGGATATGTTGCCGTTAGTGATGGAGGCGTTGATGGGAGAAAATTATTACGTAGTTTTTTCAAATAATAATTTTTATTTAAATTAATCATATTAACGTAATAAGTTCTAATAAAATATAATTTTTATTTGATTTGATCGGAATTTTTTTTTAATAAAAAATATTTTTTAAAACTTATCACATCAGTGCGATGAATTTTAAGTTATTATAATAAATATCGTAGATCCGTAAATAATTTGTTTTGTGCTATGTTAGACTAAATAATTAAACTGCTTTTCCTAATGGGCCAAAAATACCCTCTAAATCAAGTCATTAGGGTTTTGCGCTTGAAACATAGCATGTCATTTGATTCATTAATGGGTAACTACATGTTTAGCCACCCAACTTTCAATATTTTTATGTTTGGCTATTTAACTTTTCAATATTTTAATATTATTGCTAAACTTTCAATTGTTGATTATTTCGATCACTAGTTAAGTGCTTAATGGAAACACCAAAACATTGAGTTTGGGTCCTTTTTTTTATGAAATTGGCTAAAAGTTTTAACCTTTTTATTCTCCATGGCTGACATCCTTCTTCACCACTCATCTATCGTTAACCATCATTTACAATGTAATTCTACTAAAATATTCTCATTCCTCCCCTCTTTCTTTTTCTCAGTTTGATTTTTCTTGAAATAGAAAAAATCAAATTAAAGCTTTAATTTTATCTTAATCTGATTTGTAATATCCATTGTATGATCAATGTAAAAATCGAAATATATTGCTTTTCTTCTTGTTCTGGATTTCTCCACCATTCGAATTCGAAAGAAAATGCTTCGGTGTCGATGAATCAAAGAGTCTAAAAATATGAGTTCTAGTTTTTCTTTTTGCATAAATTTATTTGAGAAAATATTAATCAAATTAAAAATTAAGAATCAGACCATCAAAAAGAAAATAATTCAAAAGTTTAGTGATAAAATTAACAAATTGAAATTTAGATGACCAAAATAAAAACACTTTAGTGATTGCATCAAATTGGGGTTCAATGGCATCAGCCTGTCCAAAACCAAGCGTCATCTATGGTAAGTGTCACACGTTGGAGAAGTAAGGATCATCGATTTCGTTCCCGGTGGAGTAGGCAGACTGAACTCCAAGTTGGCCTGTATAATATGGCCACCTTGGGATCCCTACCTGTATGTTTCCTCTGCTTGATTGATGTCGGCCAACCGCAGCAGATTCATCGTCGTTAATACTACAATTCGTTCATTTTCCATCTTATAAATTGTACAACTTTCACCAGTTAACTATTCTTGACCTTCCCTTTGCATAAGTTCCTCGACAACATCGGCATATTAAAACCAGTGGCGACACTTAACAATGAAAGCTATGGAAATGAGGGAAAAGGAGCAGAATTTCGACACACTTTTGCCAATAGTTTAGGAACAAAGTGAAGCCAAAATCGTCCCTCATATTTTTCTAAGTTGCAAGAGAATGTCTGTGGGGGGTGAACGAGTGGATCAAAGAGTTTTTTCTATTTCCCAAACATATTTTTATGTTATTCCATAGCATAAGATTGCTAAAAGGAGATGGTAGGGACCCTTTTTTAGATGACTCAATCTGAAGATGATAAACGAGTGGTCGTGGTCACCGCAAAGTTGATGTTTTTAGCATCTGGAATCAATGTCCCTTTCCCTGCATAATTTAAGGAAAGGAGGAGGGAGGAGATGACAATATTCATAGTAATTAAATCTATGTTATTCTATAATATTAGATTATGTTAGCTAATGGCTGCTATAACTTTAAGTTAATGTGGCATGTGCGGAATGATTAACTAAATGCAGCGATGAACATTCTTTTTAGAGCATTAGGTGGAACAAATACCAAATATTCAAATACACAGATGGGAAACTAGCTGAGACTCACTGGGAAAAGTATGTGGAGAATTGGACTAACAGAGGTAGAGACGTTGATCCTTAATCGGGGAAAAGGAGCATTTTTTTTATTAAGTTGACTTGTGTAAGGTGATGATCAATGGCTTGAAACTGAGCATCTGGATTGGTGAATCTGGTAAATAAAAAAGGTTCAAAGAGGAAATAATTAGATTTGTTTCACTTCAATAAATCAAAGATTTGACATATTGTTTGCATCAGTTCTTGCACATATCACCATCTCTTCAAACTACAGTGGTGCAAAAGATTTGACATATTGTTCTTGTTTCCCACGTTGTAGGGTCTGGGGATGCTTATCTTCCATGTTTCAAAGATTTAAGTATTTGATGCTATGCATAAAGAGTATGAATTTCTCCTACACCCCTAATCAGAATTCGGAATATGCTCCTATAGGATGGATTATATGTGTTATGTAATGTTGCTGATGGCAAAATCTTGAATGGTATAAAGAAAATGAGTAATCTTATTAGAGGTTTGAAGAAATATATGAAATCGAAAAGCCAGTCGACATGCATAGATGCTTTTCGATATATTGCCAGGGCCTGGCAAAGGGATTCCAAGCTAATCCCCAGTAGGTTCAGTCAAAAGAAAGTGGGAGAAAAATGAGAATAATTTTATTAAACTATTGCTAAAGTTGGTTGCTTAAAGCATTGATGTGATTTGAAGAATTTAACCTTGCTTTCTTCCCACTTATTCTAGACTCCATTTATTTAGAGCTCTACAGATGTATGTCTACCTATCTATCTCAGTTGCACTGCTAAGAAAATTTGTTAACAAACAGACTGAGAAAGAGAGGTTGTACCGCCCCGTCCTCGTCCTTACCTCGGCTCGTTCAACTGCTGCTGGTAGATTCAATGGCTGAATTGAAAGGCTGTACTGAATGGTACCCTTTTATTGTGATGGTTGCAGTTGATTTTTCTTTTGCTGTGGTGAATATTCTTCTTAAGAAAGTCCTTGATGATGGGATGAACCATTTGGTTCTCATAACATTCCGGCTGTCAATCTCTACAATTTTCTTGGCCCCCATTGGATACTTCTGGGAAAGGTATAGGAAGCTGCTCTCTCCACTCCCCATTATTCCCATTACCTTCCCTTTTAAGTGTGTTTTTTAAGCTTTAGCCCTCCTTTGTCATTAATTTCAGCACTAAGATTGGTTGCAGGAACAGCAGACCGAAGCTCACTCCACGCATTTTATGTTACCTCTTCTGCAGTGCAATCGTGGGGTTAGTTTATATTCAACTATACATTCATGAATTCCCATCTAGCTTTATTGTTAGTATCATAAAAGGCATATCTAAGTTGTTGATTCCTTGTAGGGCCTCACTAACGCAGTACTTCTTTCTCCTCGGAATTCAATACACATCCGCTACATTCGCATGCGCTTTCATCAACATGGTGCCGGTGACCACGTTTATAATGGCATTACCATTTCGGTATCGATGAAAATCACCCCTTGTTTATAATGGTACCATGTTCTTGAGCAAACCTTTGTTACCAGTACTCTCTTGTGTCCCTTCTTTATACTGCAGGATCGAAACTGTGAACCTCAAAAGCAACAGCGGGAGAGCGAAAATACTTGGCTCGGTGATTTGTGTAGGAGGTGCCCTGCTATTAACACTTTATAAAGGAAGGCCTTTATTCAAACACCCGCACTCACATGCCATGGCCCCGACCGTCTCGAATGCCATCAAGTTGAGGTCTTCTAGGAGGGCAGAAAGGTGGACCATCGGTTGCTTAGCTCTTATAGTGGGAACCCTGTTGTGGTCTTCATGGTTTATCATTCAATCATACGTTGGAAGAAGATATCCTTGCCAATTCTCCAGCACTGCAATCATGTCGTTCTTCGGTGCAATTCAATCGGCTGCCTTAAGCTTGCTTTTGAACAGGGACCTTTCCATGTGGGCACTGAAGGGAAAAGCTGAAATCATAACTGTCCTCTATGCAGTAAGTGTGCTCTTCTTGGTGTAAATGTAAAAAAAAAAATGGATGACTAATTCTAGGAAGTTTATAACAAGGCGAGCTTTAAATTTTGTTCTCCGAAATCTGGTATTAATACTGAACATAGATATGTCTCCGACACAGTTATGCCTTACCGTCGAATATGTATCGGATATGAGTATTTTCAGTAAAATAAAGAGTCTGAGAAACATAGATGGTTACCCAACAGCATGTTTTTGGTTGAGGAGTAGGGAAGGCTGGTCTAGGTATATGCTGTCGTGTAGGCTAGGCTAACATGGGACATCTTTTTCCTTGTTGCCATTCAATTAAAATTTACAAAAAAAGAGGCATGGATTCCAACTTCAATTCTACGCATCTATCTTGTAATTTTGTATTTCCTGGTTGTAGAAATAGTACACACAAAATTAGTGTTTCTGGAAGGCCACCTGAAAACCATGGCTTCCAAGGATTTCATTAGCTAAATAGAAATGTTGGCCACAAAAAAAAAAGCTTGTTGGAGACTTTTTCATAAGATTTTGATGCCCAACTCATGAGCTTCTTCCTTGGTCATCATGCTATTGTTTTGTTTATGCAGGGAATGATAGGGTCCGGCCTGTCATTCGTCGGCATGGCGTGGTGTGTCAAGAAGAGGGGTCCGGTCTTCACCGCAGCGTTCAGTCCTCTCGTTCAGATAATGGCAGCCATGTTTGATATTCCCATCCTTCATGAACAACTCAATCTTGGAAGGTTAATTAATTATCCTATGTCCTGTCTAATTAATAAATTTGCTTAAATACTTACAAGCTGATGTATACTCATTGCTAACTTTTTCCCCGCCACTCTGAAGAACAGTTTGTTGGGTTCGATAGTTGTCATCCTCGGACTGTATATTCTTCTTTGGGGCAAGAACAGAGAGATGCAGAACTGTGCATCGAAAATTGCTCAACAAGCCAAAGAGATTAGGGAACAAGAGGCTCAGTTACCAGTCATTACAGTTTCTTGTGATTCAAGTTGTTCCGAGACCAAGTAGTGTTTTGCTGCCGCCTAACTCTTTAAGTCCATTCATGTGGTACTCGAATAACCCTCTTGATTAAATACCACCAAATATGTTTCAACTTCTGTCGTTCGATTGTTCCGCAACAAAGAAATCAAGAAAAAAAAGTTTACTTTTTTAACAATTTTGTGATGGATGCACCCTTGTTTCCAGGACTGAGAGTCCATGATATACAAAGTTCATCAATGAAAATTGAGAATGAGGTTTATGGTAACATATAACAACCATATGGCTTATACCACCTGGAGAATGAGGTTAATGGTAAAACAGTGTGACAGAGTAACATTAAAATTTGATCTCCATTGTTTGATCTGATGTGCTTTCAGTTTCACCTCCAAAGTCAGTTTCACATGGAAAAACCAAATTTTTATATAGAAACCTTAGTTCCACATTTCAGGCGTACCGTTTCATCAAATCTGTTCTCTCCGGCACACGAGCAGTATGCTTATTAATCAGTTTAAGACTTCTAAGTATGTTGAATTAAGCTATATATGATGGCAGCTTTCCTTCAAAGCGTACACATGGTTATATATAATGCAGTAATAGTACCCTGTAACAAGTTAATCAACTCGGAAATGAACGATCTAAAACTTGCCATTCTTCGGTTCGACTGAATCCAGATTGCAGACCGGGATTTCGTAGACCTTGCAGTGTCTGATAGACTATTATAATTACAGGTGATGTGCAAAGAAGATAAATCATCAGAATTGGCCTTCTTCTTGCAATTAAAGACACAAAAGGTGAAGTATGAACTTGAAAGTTAAAACACTTAATTATAAAACAGCAAAACGATAAATAATCAAACCCATAATTAGGAAAGAAGCATAGTAACACTATGGGGATACACAAGTTCCCTTAGTTTTTACCTTTTACATGTTGTCATGCAAACATGATCTTTGATATAAAGTAAAGCAATGAAGAGATTTATTGTATGCAATGTATATTGACTTAGACAAGACTTCTTAATCGGAATGTTCGGTTTTGGCGGAATCCTTGTCTATTTTCTTTCCCCTCCTGTGCTTATCTGCATACTTCTTGCCTTCGTGTTCGGCGACATCCGAGATGTCCAAATGGACACCGGGATCATTGGTGTTGTAGCTGCTCCTGAGCATGATCGAGTTGTTAACGGCTTGGAAATTGCTGTTCACGTAGGTACTGAGCGTGTCGGGCTCGCCAAGTGAAATCCCATGCGGGCTGCTGGATTTCTCATCCAACTCGCTTCGCATTGTTGCACCGGCATTGTTTCCTGCAAGTGTGATGATCCTCACACCATTATCATCTCCGCCCTGGCTCGATCCCGGTTTATGAATACCGCATACGCGGCGAGTTACGGCGGAAACCAAGTCTTTGATTTCTTTGTCAAGTACCGTATGCTTATCTCCTTCACCAGATGACTGGCCAGGCTTGCTTGATTCCAGAGGCATTGTTTAGCAACACCAAGAAAAGAAAAACAAAGTTGGGTTTGGGAAGGAAGAGATGAAGAAATGCAGGCAAATGCGAGTTGAGGTTGGAGCTGAAACTGAAGAACATTTACATATAAGAATAGCCGCAGGGCCAAAGCTGTAGTGTTTGATATGGAATAAAAAAGTTCCTTCCATGGCGATTCAAGAATTTTATTTTATTCCCAATTAAAGCAGACACAAACTTGAAAAATGGTTAAGCTCCTATATATATATATACACACACACACACACACACACACACAAACTTTTGTCACTCTCACGCTCTTTAACCTTTTTAATTTTCATTCAAGAGATTTGAAGGGGAAGAATCATTGTGGTAACACTAACAGGCATTGTCAAAGCCGTCATTCTACCTGTTGCTGCAATCACTGAACAAATCCAGATGGCTGCATTCTTATGACTCACTGGGCCATCCTGCAGGATCACACCACTGGGCCTTTGAAGAACTCCTTGGGCCTGGTTTGGCGTTGACTATGGTACGTGAATCATCAATCTATATACGCATTAAAATTTAGGATAAATTACGTATTTAGTACATAAATTATTAGTTTAGGTCCGTTTTAGTGCTTAAACTTAAAACAAATTCAAAATCATACATAAAGTTTAGTTTTATTTCATTTTAGTACCCCATCGTTAAAAAAAAATTAGTTTTTGTTTCATTTCAGTACCATGTTCAAAATTTAACGTTAAATTTTGAAAAAAACTGAAAGTTTAGGTATTAAAACTGATGGTTTAGGTAGTAAACTCGTTAAGTTTTTAACAGTGAAATACTAAAATGAAATAAAAACTAGACGTTAAGTATAATTTAAAAAACAGTTTAAGTACTGTGCACGTTTGAATATTAAATTATAAATAGAAAAATGACATGGCAGTCATGTGTTGATATAGATCGTATTTTATTAACATTAGATTTATATGTCATTTACATCATTCTATTTCTTCTTTTTTTTAATTTTATATTCTTCCTCCAAAGATTAAAGTTTACGGTTCCATCGATGTATCACGTCAACGCTGCAATTATCATTCCTTCACATCTTTGACCGCTCAATATATCAACAAACTCACTTTAAAACTCATAAAACTCAATCATAAACCCTAAATTCATGAAACTCCAAAACAACTATGATATATAATAATATATCCACCATAATATTTGTATGATATGGAATGAAGATATACAACCCGTTTCCTCCTTCTCCATCTCCCCACTATTAGAATTTGAAAGAAGATGTTTCACCATCGAGAAATCGGGGGAAATTCAAAATTGGGATTTTTTTTCATTAAAAAAAACTGAAGAAAATTTTGGAGACGTTTCATAAATATTAAAAAAAAACATCCACCCATAATACCATTAAATGTCTAACGACGGAATGACCAAAAAGTAAAAGTTCAGTCAGTAAGTTGGCTGACGAAATTTATATTTACCTTTTTAGACAACATTGATAACAAAGAAGTGCAGAGTTTAACATTGTACCTACTGGTTAGTGATAGTCATGAAATGAGCTTCTTTAATGTGGTGAGAAGTCTCAACCCTCCACTCCTTCAAGGTTGGTGATGATATTGGTACCTAATTAAGGCCTCGGTGCACATCATTAATGGCTGTCGCAATGCCAATAATACCCGCAGCAGCCGTGCCTTCTAAATTGGCAAAGACGTGACGGGGCTGATAGGTACCCTGGACTCCCCCTTGTGTACCAAACTTGCTTGCCCTTCATAATAAGCTAGAATACCAGCCTTTTCATTGTCATTTTCCGGCTTCCTTCCGACAAATAAACGTCGGACACTGATTTAATTTTGCAAGCCAACGTGGAATGGTTAGTGGGTGATCCAAAATATCTCCCAATTATATGATTGGTTGAAATTTCTAACAAATCATGTGTTATATTTTCATGGTTTACGTTTCGTAATTTTAGAATTTAATTTTTGTCATCATCAGAGTCTTAATATTGGATGAGAAAACACTATATTCTACACGGCATTTAAAATTGTACTATCTCTCTCGAGACACTTTGCAAAATTTATTAAAGGATAAATAAAATAAAATATTAAATATTTTATAATAATATAATACTATAAAGTATTAATATAAAAAAAATAAGTTTTTCTAGTGTCTAGAGAATTTTTCATTAAAAAAATAAGGGTATAACATTTTTTCCGTTACACTCTTAGGTGTTTAACGTTTTCTCCGTTACCATTTTAGGCGTCCGGACGTTAACTGTCGTTAAAAGATCTCGTTAAATGACACGTGTCACGTTTTAGTATTTTTGAATTTCTTTTTAAATATTTTATATTTTATATTAAAAATTAAAAAACAAAACAGGACAGTATCGTCTTCTCCCCTCCCCTTCTCTCCATTCTGCCACGGCCGATCAAACGGCAAACGACCGATCACCACATCCGAACAAAAAGTCAATTACCACGATTGATCTAAGGGATTATTATGGATTCAAAACCCTAAAATGAAAGTTTTTCATTTACACCGTGTAATACCCCAACAATTGATTAGTGACTAAAACATAATTTTTGAAAGATTAGTGGCTAAAGTAGAAACTTAAAAAATTCAAGGACCAAAGAAGTAATTTTCCCAAAAAAATATATTATAAATAAATAGTTCATCTTTAAGAATAGATTCTTCATGCAATTCACATTTCGATCTGAAATTTGTGTAAAGAGCTAGTAAGCGATAAAGTTTGATAAAGTATTCAGATAATTGGATCTAATCGAAAGTTTACAAAAAATTGAATAATGATAGTATGAGGTTTGAAATATTATACTTATAATTTTAATCAATATAAATTAACATGGAATAGTGGGATTAAGTGGATTTCTCATGTTAAAGCTGAATAGTGGAAATTAAGTGACTAAATTAAAATTTTGGAAAAGTGCAATAGCTAAGATAAAAATTAATCAAATAAATGTTAATACTTATGTGATAATGTAAGAATGGTGATGAAAGCATGGAAAAAGTGGTATATATTAAGATTCATTAAGGGTAGAAATGACTTTTGGACTAAAATGAATTTTAAATTCATTTTAATTAGAATTTAACAAGTGTACATATATATTTTTGTAGAAAATCAAGAAAACTCCTTCTCCCTATAAATTTCGTGCATCATAGATAAAAATAAGTATGTTTTCTTCCTTTTTTTTCTTCATTTTAGTCCTTTTTACTTTGATTTTTGAAATAAGTTGTGAAATTGAAAAATGATCTATATCAAATTCTCTACCATTTGATATGAATATTGCATGATTTATATGCTTGAATCAATGATTTTATTGCTAGAGTGGATGATGAATAAGTTGGATTTTGATTATTTATGGATATATGTTTGTGTTATTGATTTTATAAAGTTGTTTTCAAGTTTAAATAATGATCAAAATTACTTAGAAATTTTTATATATTATTCGGTCATGGTTAAGATTCATGAAGAAATGAAAATTTTGATTAGTTTTTGTTATGGAAATGATTGAAATTACATGGAAATGTTGTTAGGAAGATGAAATCATGCTTCAATCAAGTTGAAAATCAAGCTTAATACACTTTAATCAATTAGGCCTATGAGAAGAAGACAAAGAAAAATTGTGGAAAAATTATACAAGGTCTATAAATGATATGTGAATGATTCTACATGCTTAAAATATTATTAGGACCAATTTGGAAAATTTTGAAAGTATAGGACTAAATTGCATAAATTGAGAAATATGGGGATTAATGTGAAATTATTTAATAGTTTATGTGTTATGTTGAAATTGAATGTTGAAATGATGAATTTGACATTAGGATGTTTATTGGGATTAAATATTAAAATTATTAAAATAATATGACTAATTCGTATACTTTGTAAAATATGAGGATTAAAGTTTAATTATTTAATATTTAAAGTACTATACTGGAAATTATATTTTTAGAATGTTTAAATAATGTTAAAATATGAAATTGGATTACTTTGGAAAATTAGTAAAATTTGGGGATTAAATCATAAACATGGAAAAGATAAGGATTTAAGTGAAAATTTTGTAATTTTTGTGTTGATATGTTTTAATTAAATGCTGGAAACTTTGGCTATGTTAATAAAAGCTTGAATTGAAGTTAAATATTTAAGATTGTCAATATCGAGGACTAAATTACAAATTCGTATAAGTTATGGGTATGAAATGGAAATTGATATAAGTTAATAAGTAGAAATTAAACATTTTATTGGAATGTTTGAATTTATTTTATGATGCTTAAATTTAGGTTTAGATAGCAAAAAGTATTATATTGAATAACATGCGGTGCTATCACAAGCATTAAATATACCACACAGTTAAAGGTAATTTATATTGCACATAACATAGAACACTCAAGCATAGACTTACGCGTCATATATTCTCATATTATACATTGGGTTATAAAAGATAGAGAATAGTAAAAGATGCAATATAGTAAGAGAAATAGTATAATAAAAAAAATTATACAGTAAATGAATTATTATAGAAAAAGAACTAATACGATGAAAGGAACTATACATAAAAAAGAATAGTAAAGTGAAAGGATTAGTACAAGAAAAAAGTAAGTATAGAAAAAGAACGACACAAATTTAATTATTATATTTTACAATAAAATTTTATAAAATAGTGTAAATTACATTGAATGGTTTATAGATAAAAAGTTATATTGTTTTAATTGACATATAAATGATATACATATCTATGTAATGATAATAATATAATAAAGTTGTTGTTAATGTGTTAGAAAACAACAACCAAAAAGAAACCTGTTTTAAAATAAGTATAACTATAGATATTTTATATATAGTGTTAGAAAAAAGAAAATACATAAACCGTGCTCAAATAAGAAATAATATAATATAAGAAATGTAATAAGGAAAAGTGAAAAATATGATAAGATACTAAGTGGTTATATATGAGTATAGTAAAATTTTATGTTATAAAGATAAAGTGGTTAAATTTTAAAGTAGTCTGTTTTATATTATGATATGAAATAGTATTAAACTGCCTAGATATTGAGTGAGATCAGGTGTAAATTGGAAATTAAAATATTACATCATGATTTTAAGCGGTTAAATAATCTGATAATAAATGTTAAATTAGGAGATTTTAAAAGAAACAAAATTTTCTCTCTTTCAAACGGGAACAATTAAACATAAATATATAACATCCATAACTTATATTTGGAAATAAATGTGGGTTAAAGGTGTGACACTCCGTTTTTGGGTGATACATTAGTTACAAAAGTATGGGGCTTTAGGTAGTGAGTGGTTGGTCAGCCACACGTCGTTGAGTGTTCGACCGATTGACGGTGTTAGTGGTGATCGGTGGTGGAAAATGAATTAAAATGAAATTACCAGAGCACGACATGTATCATTTGACGGTGATCTTTAATGACGATTGATATTAGACATTAAAAAATATAACAAAAAAACATTATGTGAAAAAATTTTAGACAGTAAAATATTTTTCAAAAACATAGTTGAGACATTTATTTTTATATTAATCCTAAAAATACATTATTTGTTTTGGAGGAACTATTTTTAACTAAAATATTGAAGAAAAATAAAATAAAATAAAATTGAAAAATAACAAGCGGTTCGATAGATAATTTTCTTAGAAGAGAAAAAACAAAAGAAACGCCAAACAGGAAAATCTCAATTCTCATATTTTTGGAGATACTCATACACGAAAGTAAAGGAGTCGGTCCGGTCCACCGTATTCCGTGGCGTTGCGTTGTTAAACAAAAGATTCTTCGTCTGTTGGTTAACCCAAATCGTCGTTATTTAATTCATAAAATTATTTGTGAAAAAAAAACAAAAATACTATCTTCTTTAATTTCTCTCCCGTTTTCTTCTTCTTCTTGATGTTGTTGCTGTTGTTTGTTCAACTATCGACTGGCAGCAGACTCATCAGTGATTCAAAGGAAGCATACATTCCTCAGGTCCACGCTCCCCACTTTTCTTTAAAAGAAGTTTTAACCTCTTTTATTCCTTTTTGTACATACTTTTTTTTTGTCACTGCATACCTATATTCTTGTTTCTCTGAGCTGATTTTAAGCTGAATTTTAAGCAGTGCATCTTGTTATTGGGTTTTCTCTGATTGGTTGGCTTTTTTTATAGTTTGTAGTCTAGAATCGAAGTAATTGAACGACGGAACTGTCTGTTGTATTCTGTTTTAAGCGTAGTCTGAAAGGTTTAAGGCTGGCGTTTTGTAATTTTACTTGTTAAAAACTAAGTAGTCCTTAGGGTTTTGATTGACTGGCTGGCAGTTTTGATGGGTTTTTTTTCTGTATGTTTATGAATTCAGCAGTGAGGGTGGTGGGGAACATTCGCGGAATTAAATCTTTTTGAACCACACGGGGATAGTATCAACGCTGTAAATTACAATCAGATGCGGAATGAAGGTTCAAATGAGACTAGCACCAGAGCTAGTTACCACTCCAGTAATTTACCTGAACCTGATCTTGAGAAGCAGGGAAACAATCTGGTGTTGCCTCAGGTGGAAAAGCTGTCAGGCTCTGTTAAGGATCCGACCTGTGAGGCCAGTCCCACATTGTTAACCATCGAGGTAACAAAGGGTGAGTCTCATGTAACCCAGCAGCCAGTAGCTCAATTATCAAAAGATATGGACTGTGTTATGGATGAATTACCTCGTGTGACTCCTCAAAAGGGTTTTTTTTCGAGAAGCAGTAGTTCCGACGTGGAATGCAGGTATGTTAAACTTTCGTTTTAATCTTCTTCTACCAGTCATTCATACATTCTGTGTCCTCATTTTTTATGCATCTTTTGAAATTATTGTTCCAATATTTGACTTTTCTGGATTGGATGCACTCCTAGTAAGAGTGTAGATCATTGCATAGGCTCGAGTATCTGTTAGCTATGGTCATTGAAGTCCCATGGATGAAATCTTTCTGTTTATGTTAATTGCCCTGAGCATTTCACTTAGCCTAGATGGTAGTCTTAATTCTCCTCTTTATACTTTCTAAACATGTTATACATTAATGAGTTTTGCTTTATTTTTACCGTTTCATTATAATTTGGCAAAATAATGTGCTGCATGAAGGTTTTGGTGACATTATACTCTTAGGATTAGGTTGAGAAAATGCCTCATTCAGGTCATCTTTATATATATTGTGGTCTGTCAACAATTTTTTTTTCTTAGTTTTGTAATCCACCGTAACCCTATCTAAGTAACCCTCTTCAAGACGACCTTAACTGCTAAGCACTCTCGAACCTGCAGCCTCCAAAGCATATCACTAGCAATGTAGTATGCATGCCATCTAAGCTAGTACTCATTTGGCTGGTCAGTCAGCCATCTTACATATGCCATTGCATTATGATGATTACCTCTTACCTTCAACTTGTTTTTCTGCGATTAATCTTGAAAACAATATGTATTATCGAATACTGTAACTATTTCCCATCTGTATGTTTCTTCAGAGTTTGTCAACAGGAGAAGGAAGAAGGTCTTATAGATCTTGGGTGCCAATGTAAAGGTGGTCTTGCAAAAGCACACCGATCTTGCATTGACATGTGGTTTCGTACAAAAGGATCCAACAAATGCGAAATATGCCAGTAATTATTCAAAATTTGATTCCATTCTTTAAAATTAGCTTATTTGTAATTGATACACGATTTTATTTACTATTGTCATGTAGAGCAGTAGCTGTAAATGTATCAGCTCCAGAGTCCCAGCCCATTGTAAGTATTCTGTGCTTAAGTGAAAGGGCTAGTAATATGAACCTGAGGATGACTTTGCTTGTATTATTTCGTTTGGCCTAGAAAATGCTAGACATTCAATATTATCTTGGGGTTTGCAGGAAGAGGGTTTGTTAACCAAATTTAAACCTGGAAAATAAAACGAAGTTGCGTGAATAATTTGGTGGTATTTACTATTAAGTGATATTTATTATGTAGAAAACTGGTGCTGAAGCATATTTATTATGTTTTGGGGTTTATTTATATCTCACATGCATGCCTAGATCGATTCTCAAATGTGTTTCATGACGCAGACAAATTACTGGGTTTGGAGGGTTGATCCAAGTTTTACACCACATGAACGTCAGAGGGTAAGTAGATAACTAGTAGACAATCTTATTCTTGAGAAAATCCTTCCTGTTTGTGTTAATTTTGTATCAATTCATTCTTTATGGCAGGGTTGTTTTAGTCCACTATGGGTGGCATTCTCAATTCTTATTGGTGGTTTAATGTTGGATGTGTTGATATCCGTTACTCTTGGTGTCTCTGCACTGCCTGTTAACATCATAATTGGTATGCACACCTCACTCACATTCTTCCTGTGCCTGCTAACATTCTTAGGTAGTAGCTTTGCCTTTTATGTTTGATTTCATAACTTGAAGAGACATTGTACAGGTGTTATTGTTGTACTAGGACTCGGAACTGCCCTTCGACTTGCCCTTGAATTCTGCCATGAGTGGAGTATTAGGAGAGCCGTGCAAAGGGTAGAAGCAAATGTGGCTCTTGGGCATCATCCTACTTTGTAGGTAAACCTTTATATAGTAAAATTTGAGTCTACTAGCCAATTACGTGGTTCTTGTTGTTTGCGTATATAAAGTTCAGCATACCATTGTTTGTTTCCACTCACATTTATACACCATGATACAGTTTGTAACGTTCCCCTTGAAGGGTTTGAGAATTTATAGTCAAATTGGACATGAAACTTTTTGATTTGGATATGTATGCCAGGGTTTCAAGTTTGAGTAACTATATTTCCTTGATTGCTTAATTATTAATGACTATGTTGAAATCAAACTGATGTTATTCTGAATCCACAGGATGGATCTTTCATATTTTGTATTGGTATTGTAAGCTAAAAGCATATCAAAACTCCATATCCACTGCTTTTGACGGAAGCTGCATTCTTTTGACTTTAAGTGCAGCTTGATTATATTAAAGAAGGTTGAATTGGCAATTGGTTGGAGTTGCCATATTAATCAGTTTGTTTTTTTAGAAGCAACTAATTTTATTCAAAATACGAAATATCCCAAATTACAATAAATATTACGATCACAGTCGTAAATTAAGCATATAATTAGAATTTTTTTCTTATAATCATTTAAACAAAACTAACAAGGAAAGATTAAAAATCTAACCAAGAAACTCGAACAAAGATACAAATAGATATGTTTATATAGGTAAACGAATTACAAAATGGGATCAGATTATTGAAAGATCATCAACAAACTACAAATCAGACTCGTACGACGAGAAAAATTATTCATGAAAACAATCGAGCATCCAAATCCAATCTGAGAGTTCAAAGTATGGAATATTAACAAGATATCAGATAAACGATATTTTCATCAGTCGTGACGATGTCAAATCAACCCATAGAAAAAGATAAATGAAAAATGATCAAATTACCATAAAACATGCCAAAAGGATAAGAAAATGTGTCATAAAGACAGATGAAAATGTGTCATACATACAAACTTATTAAAAACAAACAAAAGAAAATACGATAAGATATTAGAAAAGAAAAAAGATAATAAAGAATACGGTGGTCGGCAATCAACATCAAAATTAGTGTCACCGTCGATCAACAACGAGCGAAAATTAAGTTTTTTTATCGAAGCTAGATCATCGTCTACTTCAACCTACTTGCATGTTTTGAATTATATAATAGAATAAAAGACTCAAGTATACAAAAAGTGTATAATATATGTTTTTTTTTTAGTTTAGTATTTAACGTTTATTTCGTTTTAGATTAGTGTTTAATATTTCATTCTATTACTCAAAATGAGTTAAACTGGAATGAAATAAACGTTAGGTGCCAAATTGGAACGAAATAATTTCTTATTTTAAGAAATCATTTTTTAATATTAAAAATATGTGATGTGACATTTTTAATAGGTTAACAACCAAACTTAATAGTCCATCGTGACTTGACTCATTTTGAGTAACGAAATGAAATGTTAGACACCAAATTAAAACGAAGTAAACGATATGACACCTTTTGTATACTTAAGCCTGGAATAAATTATATCCATTATCACTGAATTATACTCTTTCTCTTATTTCACGTATTGTACGTTAAATCTATTTACTTTTTTCATTGAACTTAATATATTTGATTTTTTTGTCACTGCATATAAAACGTATGAATACTTCACTTTCTGCATAATGTAAAGCCTAATCTCACTTTTTTATAAAACCTGAGATCTATCGACGTGGAAGAATTCATACCCAAGAAATACATGGAACTCATTTCTCGTAGAAAGCGAGATCATCATACATGATCAATTTGGGTTTTTTTTTTTCATTTAATGTTGTTTGGGAAGTATTATTCTAATAAATATTTTTTGAGGGTTTTTTAAACTAGTAATATCAATTTTAATGTCGTCAATTATTTAACTGTAGAATGATCGAAAAAATTAAATGTATTAAGTAAAATAAATAAAATAGAAAAGAAAATAAAATAAAATTAAGTGATGATTGATATAATGTACCCTGTATAATTTCAAAGACAAAGATGGTAGCTCAAGTGCAATGACCTACCTGAAAACCACCCTTAAACACCACCTCTAAGGGGGTGTTTTAGAGGTGGTGTTTAGATTAAGGAATGTTAGATTCCCATGATAATAAAATTTACATTCCCATGTTTGATTGGTCAGGAATCTCATTCCCGGTAATATTTTATTACTAATAGTAGATTTTTTAGGGTATATTATCGGAAATGTCATTACCTCCATTTCCTTAGGTATTATTGGATTACCGGTGTTTTAGACTAAAATGCCCTTAATTTTTTTTTTCAAAAACATCATATTCTTTCATTGAATAATAAAAATTCTACGAATGTTAAATTACAAATTTATCCTTAAACTATTTTAGATTTACAAAAAAAATCTATAATTAAAATTTTATATGAAGTTCAAGAGTTAAAATAAAATTTTATTATAAAATTTTATCCTTTTATTAAACCTCTTTATATTTTTAATTTTATAAAAAATATATAAATTTTTGAGTTTAAATTTTTTAAAGAAAATATATAAATATTTTTTAAGTTGTTAAAAAAGCAAATATATAATAAGGATAATTTGGTCAAATATACATTCCAATAATTTTTTATTCCTTTGACCAAATACGGTAATCTTACATTCTTATTAAACTAATTAAATACAAAATACAACATTCACAGTAATCATATTCTATGATAATATTATATTTTCACTAATAATCTTACATTTCGTGAATCAAACGAACCTTAAATGTGATCCAATAATAAAGAAATTCATGGGCGGAGGCGTGGCCTAGCGCACGAGTAGACTGCTCATTTTTTAAAACTTTAATCAAATTTGAAAGCCGGAAAAGTAAAAAAGAAAGCAAAAGCAAAAAGCGCAGCACTACTGAGATTACTTTTTTGACGCTAAGAAGAAGAGCCTTGCGGGATAAGCTAAAGCACAGTGTTCCATTGCTATCTCCTTTCTTCCTTCATCAGGGGCCTTATGGTCATTAGGACTACACTTTTTCCGCGGTTAACCAAAAGGTCAATTTGCCGTCGGCATTCGGTTGTTATAGCATGCGACGCAGTTCTTTCCCCTGCGGTACGCGCGCTTCAATGATTAGTCCATCCCACGAACCGGAAAGCGACACGAGTGCCCCTCAAGAATGTGGTTGGTTATATTTGGACGGAGCGTCCGACTCCATTTCGCCTTAACTGCAGACGATTACCGAAATAACGACAAGAACAAAGACCAAAAGAAAAGGAGCCTTGGCTAAGTAATCGAAGAAGGCAGACGAGTTTACTTGCAGTGGAAGATTGTCAGTCGGACGTGTTTAGTCTTTATGGTTTTTGAAGAACTAACTAGTTGGTATTAGAGTTGTTGAGGTTTGAATGATGGCGGTTTTGACGATGGGAGCTTTGCCTTTAGGATTTAGGTTTAGGCCGACCGACGAGGAGCTCATCAATCACTACCTTAGGTTGAAGATCAACGGTCGTCATTCCGAGGTCCAGGTCATTCCTGAAATTGATGTCTGCAAATGGGAGCCCTGGGATTTGCCTGGTATTTTTTCTCTCTCTTTTCTTTTATTTTAATTTTTCCGGGAAAAATAAAAAAGCAGCGAAATTTATTCGGTGAATAATTGTTCTGAATCTTTGATACCTTTAGCCTGAGTTATTCCGCAACACTTGTAACAAATGTATATATAGTTTAGAAGATTTATTCCTGTTTTCTAAAACTGGAAATTTCGGGACAGCCTACTTATATTCCTTTTTGATATTCCTCTAAGCATGCGGAAAAATATTTTATAGTTCAAAATTTGGTCAATTTTATTTTTAAATTTTGGGATGTTTGAATTAAATTCAGGACTGTCGGTGATAAAATCGGACGATCCGGAGTGGTTCTTTTCTGTCCTCGTGACAGGAAGTACCCCAACGGCCACCGTTCCAACAGAGCAACGGATAAAGGGTATTGGAAGGCCACGGGGAAAGATCGAACCATCAAGTCTAAAAAGTCCCTAATCGGGATGAAGAAGACCCTTGTTTTCTACAAGGGTCGTGCTCCCAAGGGTGAGCGTACCAACTGGATCATGCACGAATACCGCCCCACTACCAAGGAACTTGATGGCACTGCCCCTGGCCAGGTTTTCTTTTTATTTTCTTGCTCGTGTTTTTAGTTTAAGTTGCTGCAACTATTTCCATGAACTTAAATTTTTGCTTTTATTAGCATATTTGTTTGATTGAAAAGTCAGGGAGAAAAGGTTGAGGAATGGTTGTATGATCTGGACCATTATTTTTTTTGGGTGCAGACTGCTTTTGTTCTATTTCGATTGTTTCATAAAGTCGAAGAGAAGAATGATGCTGCGAAGTATGAACTGGAACAAACGGCCATGATAAAATCTTCTCCCGATGACACTTCGTCATATCTTCTGCTGGATACCGTGTCATCTGTGACTCATTCTCAAAAGCCTGATAACTTTATGCAAAATGATCAAGTAACAGGTGATACCAGCAGCTGTTACAGTCATATGACTTCTAATGCAGATGATCATGCAGCAGAAGAAATTATGGTGGAGGTGTGAAGTGGATAATTTTATCTATGGTTTGGGATTGTTGCATTAATCATTGTTTTATCTTTGACTATATCGTGATTCTTGGTGAGTGACTGTTTTCTTGCTTTTACGACAGAAATATCCCTTCCTGGAAGGCAATTCAAATTCCTATGAACCCAATTATGGTGAACTTGACTACAAAGTCTTTTCACCACCAATGAACTCACATTTGTTTGAAGATCTGCCACTTTGCATGGACTCTCCTTATACTAGTGACTTTGGCCATGATCAAAATGGATTTTATTTCAACGATGGGACTAGCGCACAGGATGTATCATTCTCTTTGTTGGAAGATGTCTTAAATAACCATTATGACTCCTGTGGAGAGTCAAGCTGTCAGAAGAAGTCGGTTGCTGGAACAGAGATGCCCTTGTTTGATAATTCATTCATTTCAAAGGCAACACTGCCAGAAACATCATATCTCAAAGAAAATGGCATATTCACTGATACAAACACTGAAATACCACAATTACAGGTAAATAAATAACTAGCTAGTAGCTTTTATGTTCCTATGTATGTAGCGTTTAGGGGTTTGTTTCTTTAGACTTTTGAGTTTTGTGTCGGATTCAGCATCCTTTTTTTCTATCTAATTTTCACTTTTTAGACATTTGGATTTAGTTTAC